CCCCCCCCCCCCCCCCTGGACAGTACACATGCACGTCGCAAGCCCCCACGGCCCGATAGCATCAAACTAAAAAAATACGATTCCGGAGAGTCAAGAAAAGAAGGTTTCACTAACATGTTTACATGTAAAGCATGAACCCATAAGTCTATTATTCAAGAATCAACATTTCTTTAGCCACCTTCCTCTTTTAAGTCGGGTTTAATCAATGCTTCAACGCAAAATCTATTCATGTATTTGATCGAGTGAAAACATCCAAGTCGCACGACCAGCCAGCCCAGGTGTCGACATTTCAGTTCTGTAGGAACCAAAGAAATTGAATATGAAATGGTAACAGAAGGTAATTCTGTACGAGGTCAGGCTGGATATAGATCTTTACAAAGTTAAGCGCTTCTAATAGACAGGTTAAAAAGCATAATATTGCCCGAAATGCCTCAAGGGCGAGTTTCTGTCATACAGAGAGGCGGATCGCATAACTGATTTATAATGAAGTGTCAGAGTTAAGTGTTTATATTTTAAAAAAAAAGAATGTCAGCTAAAGGCATTCTCAGATACAAACTTGTTTGGAGAACTTTTGAAAGGAAACCAAAAATACTGATGTAACTGAGAGAAACAGACATATAGACAAACACACACACACACACAGAGAGAGAGAGAGAGAGAGAGAGAGAGAGAGAGAGAGAGAGAGAGAGAGAGAGAGAGAGAGACAGAGAGAGAGAGAGAGAGAGAGAGAGAGAGAGAATAAAAAAGACAGATCAATAATATGTACATACATCGATGCCTTCAGTCAATTTTAATTTTTTTAAAACCCACATGTTCTCCAGCCTTCAAATATTAATCTAACGAAGGTAGCAATCAATGTTCAGTGTAAACCCACCTCATTCTATCACAAACACGGATAATATTTTCTCAAATTCACACCATCCTATCACAACCCACCTCACCCTACTTCATTACCTTTCATCTCCGCGAGGTGTACACATTCACATGATCTTATTTTTTTGTAAAAACTCATATCATCCTATCTCATATCCTATCGCGCCACTGTATCACACACATTTTCACCAAATCCTATCGTGAACACACATCATTTTATAACATCCTATATTATTATGTCTCTGTATAATACAAACCCACCTCATCCTATCTCATATCGGGTCATGTCTCTGTTCTTACCTCATCTTATCTTTTATCCTCTCTTGTCACTGTCACAAACTAACAAAATCATTCCACAAACTCACCTCTTCGTTTCACAAACTAACATCATCCTAGCTCATATCCCATCGCTTGGCAGTATCAAAAACTCACCCAATCCAATGTCATACTATCGCCTCATGTCTTTGTATCATAAAACTCACCTCTTCCTATCTCATTATCCTCTCATATTTGTTTATCATGAACTCACCTCTTCCAAGCTAATATCCTATCATGTCACTAGATCTCAAACTCACTAAATCCTATAACAAACTCACCACATCCTATCTCATGCCCTCTCATGTCTCTGCATCACCCACACTCATCTCACCTCATGCCCTCTCATGTCTCTGCATCACCCACATTCACCGTATCTCATACCCTCTCCTCTCATGTTTCAGCATCATTTCACCGTATCTCATACCCTCTCATGCCTGTATATCATTAAGTCACCTCATCCTATCTCATATCCTCCTTTCTCTTCGCATCACAACAACCTTTTTTATAATCTTTCATACTTGTGTAGTGTATCATTAATTCACCTCATCCTATCTCACATCCTCTCAGTTTCAAGTCTCTACATCACTAAGACTCACCTCATCCTATTTCATATCCTCTTATATCTCTGCATCACCTCATCCTATCTCACATCCTCTCAGTTTCAAGTCTCTACATCACTAAGACTCGCCTCATCCTATTTCATATCCTCTTATGTCTCTGCATCACCTCAACCTATCTCGTATCCTCTCATCTTTCTTTATTACACAAACTCACCGCTCTTTTTCCCCACGACGCAGGCACAGGCCCAGAAAGCATCGATAAACCTCCAGTTGTCCTGTACGTATACAGCATTCCACTGTGCCCCCATGGCCTGTCTGTCTGCCTTCTTGCCAATCTCATAGGCGGCGCTTTTGTTCATGCCGCTCAGGATCACGCACGGGATTCCAGCCATTCTGGAACAGAAAGAATTGGAGGTAAGGGTGAGTTTAAAGTTTTTAGGCGGATCGTGCTGACGAGGATAAAAAAGAAACAGACGTAGCGTTACAAAAATTTAAATACGTATTCATATACATAAATAAATAAATATATATATAAATAAATAAATAAATAAATAAATAAATA